TTTCCACATGCTAATCATTCCTCCTTTTAGGATAAATAGTCTTGGCTTTTTCAACTATTCCTCATATGATAATATCTTTTTTTTTTGGTTTTTTGAGACAGGGTTTCTCTGTAGCTTTGGGGCCTGTCCTGGAACTCGCTCTTGTAGACCAGGCTGACCTTGAACTCACAGAGATCCGCCTACCTCTGCCTCCCAAGTGCTGGGATTAAAGGCGTGCGCCACCACTGCCCGGCATATGATAATATCTTGATTGTTCTTCTGAGGACATGAATATTTGTCAGTGTTCCTCCAAAAATGTGTTTGGAACTGGAGGTAGTATTCATTATGCTGAATTGGATGTAAATGTTCCACATCTGGACACTAACACAGTCTGAAGGCTGTGAGTTTTTTAGCAGCCATGTAATGTTGGCTTGTAATGAATTTGCAATTAACTAAAATCCCAAGGTTTTAAACTGGAAGTTTGCATTTATATGACTTCATTCTAAACCATTTCTTCATTTTCCTTAGTTATACAACAATTTTAAAATATATATATAAATTTTACATATTTATTAAAGTTTTTCTTGCTTGCTTATCAAATAGACTTTTGTTTCTTTGAATTTCTTGCTTAATCATCTAGCTTATGCTGAGTCAACAAAGAACTTTGAACATTATTGTCAGAATGTTTTCAAACATCTGGAAAATGCTAGTCAAAAGTATCTAAAACTGTGTTCCAAAAAGTTGCTCAGAGACAGATAAAAGTCAGCTCTTAAGGGATATATGAATACTAGTGAAAATTGGCAAGGCCACACAAGTCTGAAATTTATTGTCATCTTTCAAGAGAGGCATTTTTTAAATATTACTCAAAAGGAAATTAATGTTCTATGACATAATGTGTTAACATAGTGCCCAAAGTTCTGCATAAGTCTTCCCAAGATCCCAAAAAATTAGTGTCTAGAGGCACACAAGACATCATGTCCGCCGGGCGATGGTGGCACACGCCTTTAATCCCAGCACTCGGGAGGCAGAGGCAGGCGGATCTCTCTGAGTTCGATACCAGCCTGGTCTACAGAGCTAGTTCCAGGACAGGTTCCAAAGCCACAGAGAAACCCTGTCTCGAAAAATAAAAAAAAAAAAAAACAGACATCATGACCATTCTGAGGTGTGTGTGTATTTGTGTTTTCAGAAGGGCCTTATTATGTAGCCCAGGCTGGTCTCTAATTCAGTGTCCCCTACCTCAGCCCTCTGTAGTCTTTAATATATATGTATATGTGTGTATATATTCTTTAATATATATGTATACATAGTTTGTTTCTTCAAATGATTTTTTCATGTGCATTGGTTTTTTTGCCTGCATATATGTCTGTATAAGGGTATTGAATCCCCTAGAAATGGGATTACAGACAACTGTGAGGTGTTGGAAAATGAACCCTGGTCTTCTGGAAGAGCAACCAGTGCTCTTAATTGCTGAGCCATCTTTCTAGCCCTTAAAATATATTTTTAATTGACACAGTAATTATGTGTATATGATACAGTGTCACAAGTTTCACTACATGGGAAATATATACTGAATCATATCAGTAATATTCATTATCATTTCAGACATTTATTTTCTTTGAATTCAGAATATTCAAAACTTGTCTATTAATTAAAGTATCTGGTTAGTTATTTTCATCCATAGTTTTTCTAGTTTACTACAGAACATTAGTAATCAGGACTGAGTAGTTGGCTAAGTAAGGAAACCATTTGCATGCAAGTATGAGGACCTAAGTTTTGATTCCCAGGGCCCAAATAAATGCTGGGTGGACATAGTGGCATACCTTTAATTCCAGGAGGAGACAGGCTTTGGCAGGGCATGCTGGCTGACAGACTGGACATTATCAGTATGCCTACGTTTTATTTAGAGATCTTGTCTCAACAGTTAAGATGGAAGGGAAATTGGGGGTGATTCCCAACACCAGCATTAGGCTTCCACATGCACAGGCCTGCACTTGCATATTCACCCACACACATGAAACAGGAAAAAGAAAAGAAAAAATTCCTTGTCCTGCAGGGCTTGGTGGTACATGCCTGTAATCCCAGGTCTCTGGAGGCTTGGGCAGTGAATATGAGGTCAGCTTGGATATGTAGTGAAACTCTGTGTCCAAACAAAATGGAAAAAAGTAAGTCACTTCTGTTCAACTATACCCTTGTGCCCATTAACCTTTTAGCTTCCACATATGTACCTAACGTGTTTTAATTCACATAATTTCATCCAGTTCTATTCATGTTTCTGCCAGTGGTAGAATTTTAATCTTTTTAATGCTAAATAGTATTTTGTATCCATATACTATATTTTCTTTGTCTGTTCAACAATGGTTACCTAAAGCTGATTCCTCATACAAACAGTACTATATTAAATGTGCAAATACAGGTAATCTCTTCAGCATACTGATTTCACTTCCCTGGATGTATGCCCAGTGGTGAGACTGCTAGATGCTGAGTTAGAGCTGCCTCTGCTTTGTTTGTTTTTGAGATTGTGTTTCACAGGCTGGCCTAAAATTTGTTATGTAGCTGAGAATGAGCTTGATATTCTGATCCTCTACCTCAGGAGTTCTGAGATTACTACATGGGAAATATGTACTATACAGAAATATATATATATATATATATATATATATATATATATATATACAGATTATTGTACCACCGCACCCAGTTTAAGTAGTGCTAAGAATTAAACCCAGGGATAGGTAAGTACTCTACTACATTAGCAACATCCCCATCATTGTCTAGTTGGTTTTGAAACTTATTTTTAATTATGTGCGCGCACATGTGTGTACCTGTAAGTGTGGGCATGTAAGTGTAGGTGCCCAAGGAGGTTGGAGATGTTAGATCCTGTGAAAGTGAAGTTACGATGATTGTGAGCAGCCTGATGTGGATATAGATGCTGGGAACTGAACTCGGGTGCTCTGCAAGAGCAGTAAATGCTCTTAACTGCTAAGCCACCTCCCCAAACCCCAACTCTGTCTTATTTTTGAAGAGACTCCATTTAGGGGCTAGAGAGATGGCCCAGTGCATTGCCAAGGCAGAAACTGGCTAGATCAGCCCAGTCAGTGAGAGATTTTGCCTTAACAAAGTAGAGAATAGTAGAGAATAATAGATATCCATGCACATGCATGTATACCAGGCACACATATTTATATAAAAATCAAAAGGGTGGTAATGGCGCACGCCTTTAATCTCAGCACTTGGGAGGCAGGCAGATGTCTGTGAGTTCAAGGCCAACCTGATCTACAGAGTGAGTTTCAGTATAGCTAAAGCTACATAGTGAGGCCCTTTCTTGAAAAACTGAAACAAAACAATAACAACAAAATAAAAGCAAAAAGAACCTCCATTTTGTTTTTCATAATGGCTGTGCTAGCTTACATTCCTCTTTGCAGGTCCCTTTTTTCATATTTTCAGCAACATATGTTGGTTTTTGTCTTTCAAATAATAGCTATTCTAATAGGTGTGAGGTGATACCTCATTGTGGCTTTAATTTGCATTCTCCTGGTATTTGATGTGATGGTTGGCTATTTGTAAATCCTCCTTAGAGAAATATCCAGATATGTATTCATTTTTACATCAAAATTTTCATTTTTGCAGTTATTTGAGTTTTAGCCATTTGTTTATTTTTCATTTGACAAATATACTGAGGACAGTATGGCATTGTGGAAGATTCTGGAGAAGCAGAACCAGGTTTGTCTTGTAGGTGGGGTAACCACATGTTCTTTTGACTGCTGTGCCTAAGGTGACTATGATTTCCACTTTGTAGTACTTGTGCAATTAATAGTAGCATCATTTTGCAATTTACTGAGTTAGAGGACAAACTATCTTACCACTCTTCCCATGATGTAGCTGATTCCTTTTGGTGTGTTAGTTGGGCTAAACATTACATAATTGTAATTGGACAATTCTAATGAGGCTGCTAAATTCTCTCCCATTTAAACAGACTGTTCCTTGACCAACGGAAAATGATAGCAAAAGTAATTTCAATTAATATCCGTAAATATTAAGCCATTATCTGCCTGGCAGTTTTGGGTATATGGGGTGTGTATACATAAAATAAGGAGTGGTCTATTTCCAGCAAAATGGGCTCTGGACATGAAAATGAGGAAGCATTTAATATCCTTAACATGATGGACCCAATTTTGTGAATACTTTCTTTGTTTGCTTAATACTTTTATTCTATGAGAATTTTATACATTGCATTTTGGTCATTGTCACCTACCTTTCCATCTCCTCCCAGATTCACCATGCGACTTTGTCTTTTTTAAATTTGTGCTTCCTATATATTCTTGGGTATGACATTCACTAGAGCACTCTTTTTTTTTTGCTAAGCAAGAAAGCAAAAATATATTTTAAATTAATCCATGAACATTCTAAGCGTTCATTTCTTTTTAAATAGTAAAAATGAACTTTGATTCCTTGAATATGAAATGATTCATTATAACAATTATGCATAGTCTTTATTTAATAATCTGCATATTTTATGCTACTTTCATGTCTTTCCTAATTAATGACTTCACGGGTTTAATATTTATAATTTTTCTGTGCATAATTTACATAGTTATATAAAATGAGTGATTAAGATTAGTAATTCTGCTCTGTTTGTTTACATATTGTTTTCTATCAAAAGAGAAAATGGGACTGAGATAGAGGCTCATTTGTAGAGTGCGCTTGCCTAAAATGCAAAAAGCCCTGAGATGGATATCCAAGACTGTAATAAATAAGAGAGAGAAACAGGCTGGAACTGTGTTAGAGCAGGTGTCTGGCATTATGTGAAGCCTTGCCACTGAAAAGAGAAACCAAAAGCATCAGATTTTAAAGCTCAAGTAGCTTGGTAATGTAAGGCTCTAGTGTTTAGAATTAAAGTGTGCCTTAGTAATTGTGCCATTGTTTTTAATGTTATCACTGGATTATTTGTTAGTGCTTAGTATCAGAAATAAGTTCCTTATGTTATGTGCTTGGGATTTCCTAATGCAATGTTCTCTTTTTAGAAAAGGTGGTCAAGTCCTCTTTTCAAGAGAAGATGACTTTTAACAGTTTGGAAGGATCTAGAACTTGTGTACCTGCAGACACCAATAAGGATGAAGAATTTGTAGAAGAGTTTAATAGATTAAAAACGTTTGCTACCTTTCCAAGTAGTAGTCCTGTTTCAGCATCAACATTGGCACGGGCAGGGTTTCTTTATACTGGTGAAGGAGATACTGTGCAGTGCTTTAGTTGTCATGCATCAGTAGATAGATGGCAATATGGAGACTCAGCTGTTGGAAGACACAGGAAAATATCCCCAAATTGCAGATTTATCAATGGTTTTTATTTTGAAAACAGTGCCACACAGTCTACAAATCCTGGTGTCCAAAATGGCCAGTACAAAGCTGAAAACTATGTGGGAAACAGAAATCATTTTGCTCTTGACAGACCATCTGAGACTCAAGCTGATTATCTTTTGAGAACTGGACAGGTTGTAGATATTTCAGACACCATATTCCCGAGGAACCCTGCCATGTGTAGTGAAGAAGCCAGACTGAAGTCATTTCAGAACTGGCCAGACTATGCCCATATAACCCCCAGAGAGTTAGCTAGTGCTGGCCTCTACTACACAGGGATTGATGATCAAGTGCAGTGTTTTTGTTGTGGTGGAAAACTGAAAAATTGGGAGCCCTGTGACCGTGCCTGGTCAGAACACAGGAGACACTTTCCCAACTGCTTCTTTGTTTTGGGCCGGAATGTTAATGTTCGAAGTGAATCTGGTGTGAGTTCTGATAGGAATTTCCCAAATTCGACAATTTCTCCAAGAAATCCAACCATGGCAGAATATGAAGCACGGATCATTACTTTTGGAACATGGATATACTCAGTTAACAAGGAGCAGCTTGCAAGAGCTGGATTTTATGCTTTAGGTAAACTTAACCAATACATTACTTTCCAACTGTCATAGGGCCCTTAAAAAGAAAATCATTGTCTTTAGTCTTCTGAACTGATAAATATTTAGGTATAAGTTTTCAGTATTGTTTATCATCAGTATCATTTTCTGAACTCATATGTTAACTCTTTAATGTAACTACTAAATTTATGTTAAAGGCTATGCAATTATGAGTCAAATGTGTTCATATAATTGTTTGGGGGTAGAATTGAGAGAAAAAATATTTATTCCTGATAGATAATGAATGGGTCTAATAGTAATAATAGCTACCATTTATTGAACATCTCTGTGTGCTTCAAATACCTATTACATGGATTTTTCTCTAAGCTTTAACTACAACCCTATAAAAAGAGTTAACAGAGAAGTTAGTTTGGTTCATGGTAAATTGACATCAAGCTAACCATGGTGCCACACACCTATAATTCCAGCAATCCATAGGTTAAGGTAGGAAGATCAGCCTGAGTTTGAGGGCAGTTTGAGCTTCATCATGATACCCTCTCTCAGAAAGCCAACCACAAAATTACCATCTACCTTTAAAGCATACACTACATGTTTGAAAGCTACCCGGTATTATGCCTTATTGCTTCAGAACAATTTTGAAACAGTTCCTGTAGATATCTCAAGAAAATCCAGTATTGTGGTGGCTTCTAGGAATATTTTATATCTACATGCCTGGCCCATTTATTTTAAGATTAAATAATGCCAAATTCAAATATAAATTATTTCAAATCTTTTCATTTATCTAACATAGTAATCTTAAAGGTCATTTTCATGTCAGAGGGCTCTATCCTCGAAGACACTTGTAATTTATGCTGAGTTTTATTGTTTTTAACATTTGGAATATAACTTGTACAAATTTCAGTTTGATGAAGTAAGTATAATAGTTATGACCTAAATGACATACACTAGAATGTAACAATTATAGTTTCTAGCATTAAAAAGTTTGATTTTACTTTTGTAGTCTTCTACAAAGCACCTCATATTGAGATGGTGAATTTAGTATGTATTTCCCCTCAAATGACAGAGATCATATCTAGATAGAATGTGAATGTCTTCTTTTAAGCCATGAAATTCTTACGTAACATAGACACCCCTTAAATATTAGCACGGGCATTTTTCTGAAAACATCTCCTTGCACAAATACACATAGTTTTACTTGTCTGTTTTCTTAGGTGAAGGTGATAAAGTGAAATGCTTTCACTGTGGAGGAGGGCTCACAGATTGGAAGCCAAATGAAGACCCTTGGGAACAGCATGCTAAATGGTTTCCAGGGTAAGATTCTTAATCGCTCATTCAGTAATAGGCAAGTTGGACAATGTTCAGTGGAAAGATTTGAATTACTTTTTACCTCAACTATTTTTTGCCTTCACTAGGCTTGAAATTCACACCAGGTTTATAGAAACAGGGTCACCTACTTTGTAGGCAAAAAAAAAAAGAAAAACCACAGAAGACTTCTGGTAACCAAAAACAATCACTGTTCCTATATCATATGATACTTAGATGGTCTGTTTCTAAACACCAAATTATAAAAATGTGTACATTTTATTTATTATACTATAGAAAAATGTATGCCTTTCATTTAGAAGTAGGCTCTTTGGAAAATGGCCTGAGCCCATGGTACCATGAGAAGTCCTGAATATTATTATTTATTATTTGTGTTTTGTTTGGTTTTAACTTGAATCAAAGTCTCAAATTAGCTGAGGTTGGCCTAAATTCACGATGTTTTCCAGGCTACCCTCCATCTTGAAACCCTCTAGTTGTTTCATGTTCCTTTGTCATCTTGCCTCTGTAAAATATAGTACTCAGCTATATAAGTTGTATGAGTTTATAATATAAAAATAATCCAACTTAAATCTTTGGATGATTCATTTGAAATGAATCTTCCTTAAACTACCTTAAAATTAAATGAGAAAATAAAAGCTAAGATTTTTAAGTATTCACTATTGACTAAAAAAAAGATTTACCATTTTGAACTTATGAAAAGTGTTGGCTAGGTGTTGGTGGCCCATGCATTTAACCCCAGCACTCAGGAGGCAAAGGCAGGTGGACCTCTTAAATTCAAGGACAGCCTGCTCTATGGAGTTCTAGGACAGCCAGGGTTACCCAGAGAAACCCTGTCTAGTAACCAACACCCCAAAAAGATCAGTGTTGGAGTACTACTTTAATAGCTTCTTTTGTCTGTTTTTAATTTTGAATTTTTGTTTGCATTTTTGTATGTGTGTTTTAAAAATAATGGTCTTGTTATGTAACCTTAATTGGCCTGCAGCTTCCTAAGTAGACTGATCTGGACTTAAGCCTTGTAGCAGTCCTCCAGCTTCTGCCTCTTGAGTATTATAGAGGTGTGGTACCATGCCTGTCTTTTTTATTTTCTTTCTATTTAGAGACAGGATCTCTTGGAGCTCAGGCTAGCAAGAATTCACTATATAGCCAATGATAGTGCTGAAATTCTTATTTTATTGGCTTAACCCCCTAAATGCATAAATTCCAGGTATTTGCCACCATACCTGACTAATAACTTTTTCAACTTTTTTTTTGGGGGGGGGGTCTGGCTATATATAGCCCAGGCTAGCCTGGTTTTCATATGCTGGAATTACAGACATATGCCACCAAAATTGGCTCCTAATTTAGTAACTCTTGCTTAAAAATCGAAAGTTCTAAAATTTATATTATTAGCATGAATAATAGGAGCATTGTTTTAGCCTTGAAATGACAACTGGATAACGAATTGAGTAACAGTTTGCTTTGTGGCTCCCTAGAAACAGTGATGCTGAGGCCTTTAATCTTAGGAGTCTGATAAAATAGATTTCAAGGCCTGTCGCGGTTAGAAAGCACAGTCAAGGCCCTATCTCAAATGAAAAGTTGTATTTTTAAAAGAATAGGGTGATTTGTGCCTGTTCCTGACTATAATCCCAGCACTGGAGGTATATAGGCAGGAGGATTAGAAGTTCAGGGTCATCTTTGGCTACATAGCAAGTTCGAGAATCATAGTTTGGATCACATGAGAACTTGCATGAAAAAAGGAAGGAGGTGGGAATATATATATATATATATGAAAATGATATATAGTTTAAGTGATAGAATGCTTGTTTTGTATGCACATGGCCCTGAATTTAAACCCTAGTACCATGTACAAAAAAGACAATAATAATGAAAAGGTACATTTTTAAATTACCTTTATTTATTTATTACATGGGGTGATGCACATCTTCTTAGTACACGAGTGGAGGGTAGTACAGCTTGCAGGAGTTTGTTCTCTTCCACTGTGTGAGTTCCTGGGATTGAATTCAGAGAGAGATTGGCTTTAGTAATACTTCACTGATTTATCAGTTAGTAGAGTTTAATTTTCTTTAATCTTTTAGGTGTAAATATCTATTGGATGAGAAGGGGCAAGAATATATAAATAATATTCATTTAACCCATTCTCTTGGGGAATCTTTGGTAAGTTGCCTATTATGTATATATGGCTTCAAATTCTATACCATTTGTTTTTCTAAAGATTTCTTCCAGTAAAATGCATGGTATACTCATAATTAATGTGTAGTAAACTTTAAAGCGGAGATACTTGAAGAAAGCTTCTAATTCTTAACTCTGAAGCAAATTTTTGAGAAGATTGGGGTAAAATAATGTATTACTGTGGTCAGAATGGGTGTAAAGAATTTAAAATACTGAAATCATTTAGCCTTCAGAAATTCTGTGTAATGTACTTTGAACTCACAAATTGTTTCTACCTTTTTTTTTAAAAAAAAAAAAAGCATTTCACCCCGTAGACCAGGCTGACCTTGTGAACACACAAGATGTGTCTGCCTTTGTCTCTTGAGTGCTGAGATTTAAAGAATCTGCCACCATACCTGGCAGTTTTCACCTTTAAAAAAAGATTGATTGATTGATCGATCGATTGATTGATTTAGAGAGTGTGTGTTTGTGTGTGTGTACATCATGTGTTATATGTATTGTGCAGGTACTTGAGGAAAACAAAAGAGGGCATCAGATCCCTAGAGCTGGCATTACAGTTACAGGCAGTTGTGAGTTGCCCAATACGGATTCTGGGAACTGAACTCTGGTCTTCTGCAAGAGCAGCTGAGGCATCTCTTTAGTTACCTTTTAGCACATAGTACTTAAAGTTGCAAAAATAGGACTGGAGATATCCATCAATTATACCTTATCTGGCTATCATAAACAATGGCCTGGGACAAAATAAAATGTAAAACATATCTGAATAGATAAATAGGACAAGGGTTCTCAAATCATTAGTAAAATGTGGGAAGAATCCTGGACTGGATTGGGAGTCTAAAATTAACATGATAGTTCTGCCACTGGTTTTTTAGTTTAGTTTGTATTTGTTTCTCCTCCAGGAAGTTGTTTGATCTCATGGGGCCTCAGCTTCTTGCCTGTAGTGTTGTTGAATTAAATATTCCTAACTTCTTCTGTTCTATTAGGCTATGTTCTTGTTAATAGTCATGTTTTAAATTAGAATAAAGCCGTTTTGTTTTAAGTTCATTAATTTTTCAAATTGAAACAATTGCTTTCTACTAAAGTGAATTCTTACCATTCATAATTTTATTTTAGGTAAGAACTGCTGAAAAAACACCTTCACTAACTAAAAGAATCGGTAAATATGCTTATTAAAATGAATCTTTAATTTTGTGGCCAAATTAGTATGTTTAATGAGGTCACTGTAAATCTCAGAAGTTAATGAAGTGCTTATACTTTTATACCATGTATTTCTATAGTGAGGATGTTAATAGGAAGCCAGGTATTGCTGGGCAATGATGGCACATGCTTTTAATCCCAGCACTCAAGAGGCAGAGGTATGTGGATCTCTGTGAGTTCAAGTCCAGCCTGGTCTATAGACTGAGTTCTAGGATAGCCTAAGCTGTTATATAGAGCAACCCTGTCTCAAAAAAACAAAAGAAAGAAAGGAAAGAAAGAAAGAGAGAGAGAGAGAGAAAGAAAGAAAGAAAGAAAACCAGGTGTTGTGGCTTAAATCCATAATACTAGCACTTGGGATATTAAAGCAGGGGAATTCCAAATCTATGGCTAGTTTGGGTTGCATGACATGGGTTTAAAAAAGCTAGGGAGGGAGGAAAACTTGTTTCCACTTATTTATTTATTCATTTATTCATTCATTTAATGTGTATGGGTGTTCAACCTTCACAAATGTCTACCATGTGCATGCCTGGTTCCCCCAAGCAAGAAAAGAATGTCAGATCTCCTGGAACTGCAGTTATAGGTGATTGTAAGCTATAATGTAAGTTCCAAGAACTGAACCCAAGTCCTCTAAAAAAACCAGTACTTTTAACATTTGAGTCATCTCAGTGGTCTACTGTGTAGACCAAACTGGCCTGGATCTCTCTTTTTGCCTCAGTCTTTAAGTAACCCCACACACAGCTAAAGCAGATTCTGTGATGGTGTTTATTGTTTTTCCAGGCTGGTGATTGAGCCCAAAGCCTTTCTAATGATGAGTACTCTGAGCTACAGCTCTAGCAGTTATTCCTACTTTTCAACCAGAGAAACAAGGAGGTTATATGCTCTACTCACAGCCACATTATATGTTTTTGTTGTTGTTGTTGTTTTGTGGTTATTTTTTTTTCCGAGACAGGGTTCTTCTGTGTGTATTCCTGGCTGTCCTGGAACTCACTCTGTAGACCAGATTGGCCACAAACTCAGAGATCTGCCTGTCTCTGCCTCCTGAGTGCTGGTATTAAAAGCATGTGACATTATAAATAATGAATAGATCTAGAACTGTAAACAAGATCCTAAATCCCGTAGCACATTGTAGATCTAAGTTTTGGTGGGGTTATTTATGGGTTTTTGATGATGTTTTGTTGGTGTTATGGAACAGGGTTTCTCTGTTTAAAAAACATGGCTGCGCTGGAACTCATTATGAAGGCCTGGCTGGCCTCCAAACCCCAGACACCATCTTGCCTCTGCCTTCAGAGTGCTGAAATTAAAGATATGTACTACAATATCCAGCTCTGGTGTTGTTTTTGTTTTGTATTTTTAGATTTCATTTTTCAATTGAGGCAGTATGTTTCAGAAATAGAAAATTTAATTTAGAGTACCTGGTGAGTCCTTATTCCCTGATGTTGTACCATCACTATTTGTATACCTACCCTGCATCAGTCATTCTCTATTTTCCTACTGCTGGGCCCTGACAAATGCAGGTGTTTTTTTTTCTTAAGACATTTTACTATATGTAGAATCATCTTCTGTGTCTATATATAGTTTCATGTATTGAGTACATCATTCTTTATTGTTTTGCTTTATTTTGAGACAGGATCTAGTGTATCCTAGACTGGGCTTGAATTTGGTAGATGGCTGAATATGACCTTGGTCTCCTAGTCCTCCGACTTCTACTTTGTCATTTCTTGGGACACACACTACCATACTATGTTGATGTTTTGCTGGAGATTTAATGCCAAGACTGCATGCCTACCAGGCAATCACTCTTCCAACAGCCTCATCCTCTGGATACTTTTCTTACCTGTTTTAACCTATCTTGCATTTTTCTTTCCAACTTTGGGAATCAAAGCCTCAGCAACGCACATAGTAGCAGACAGTCTACCAGTGAAGTACTTCTCAGCGATGGCATGGTCTTAAAGCCCTATTTAATTGTTTATTTGTGTTAATGAAAATATTTGTTTCTGCTATGTTCTTTCTTCATCCAACTTTGATTTCAGATGATACCATCTTCCAGAATCCTATGGTACAAGAAGCTATACAAATGGGATTCAGTTTCAGGGATATTAAGAAAACATTGGAAGAAAAAATCCAAACATCTGGGAGCAGCTATCTATCACTTGAGGTTCTGATTGCAGATCTAGTGAGTGCTCAGAAAGATAATACACAGGATGAATCAAGTCAGACTTCATTGCAGAAAGGTATGGATTGGGTATTTTGTTTGTTTGTTTGTTTGTTTGATTTGGGGGGGTTGTTTTGGTTTGGTTTGGTTTTGGTTTTTCAAGACAGGGTTTTTCTGTGTATCTTTGAAGACTGTCCTGCAACTCACTCTGTAGACAGGCTGGCCTCTAACTCAAAGAGATTCATCTGTCTCCCAAGTGCTGGGATTAAAGGTGTGTGCCGCCGCCACCTGGTACATTGTTTATTTTTTGAAACAAAAATAACAACTTTGCAACCCATTCATTTCTTTTTTTTTTATAATATCCCCATGGGGAGGCCTCACCCTTTCTGAGCAGTGGATTGAGGGTGGGATTCGAGGAAGGTTGTGGGAGAAGGAACTGGGATTAGGATGTAAAATAAAAAAGATTCTTTGGCCAGGCAATGGTGGCGCACGCCTTTAATCCCAGCACTTGGGAGGCAGAGCCAGGTAGATCTCTGTGAGTTCGAGACCAGCCTGGTCTACAGAGCTAGTTCCAGGACAGGCTCCAAAGCCACAGAGAAACCCTGTCTCGAAAACCAAAAAAAAAAAAAAAAAAAAAGATTCTTTGATTAAAAAAAGGAATAGAAAAAGAAAAATGAAAAAAATCACCATGAAATAAAGTTTTAATTTTTATTCCAATAAATTTCAAACATACACAGAAGTAAAAAGAATGATAAATTAGCTTCAATAATAAGCAGCTCTTCCCCATCTTGATCCTCTTCTCCTATCTTTTTCCCCAAAGCACTTCAAAGTCAATATAAGACATCCTGTGTATCATTAGCTACAAATACTTCAGTATATATTCAAGGGTATTTTTTAAGTTTGCACTCAGTGCTGTGTTTCTCAAGCTACTATAACAAAATGCATTTGTTTCTCACAGACTGAGAAGTCTAAAATCTAGGTCTTTTTGCAGATAGTTGCCTTCCCAAAGTAGTGTGTATAACGTCAGGTCTTTCTTCCTCTTCTTACAAGAATGTTATTTCCCCCAGGAGTTCTCATGCTCATGAGTTAATATACACCTATTGTATTCATGCATTGCTTAACAGTGGAGATATGTTCTGAGAAATGCATTGTTAAACAATCTCATCGATGAGTGAATGTCATCAAATATACTTACACAAACATAGATGCCATATGTTAATCAATTTATCTGGCTTCTTGATGCAATCCAGATATTTTGTAAACATGAGATGTGTGCCATGAGGTTCCTGCTGATGTGATATGGCATATTATTTCATTGTAGTTTATTTATATAAAGGAATATATTCTAATAATAAAGTATGCAAGGTAATAGAGAAACCAGTAGCATAATTGTTGGGTTTTTTCTTTTCTTTTTTTTTTCAGGACAGGGTTTCTCTGTGTAACAGCCCAGGCTGCCCTAGAACTCACTTTGTAGACCAGGCTACAACTCACTTTGTAGACTTTTGTAGACCTCGAACTCACAGAAATCTGCCTGTCTCTACCTTCCTAGTGCAGGGATTAAAGGTGTGAGACACCACCGCCCGGCTGGTTTTCTTCTCTTCATTATCATGTTTTAATTATGTGCTATACTTTCATATGACCCAGGTTAGTTAATATCACCATTATCCCAAAACATTAGGCTGGCTGAAACATCATTAGATGATAGGATTTTTTCAATTCACTTCTGATCTTCTGGAACAAATACATGCTTTCTGGTTTATCAAAGTACTGTTCAATAACACATTACTACCTAAAGCCCTTCTTCTGACCATCACTATGTAGAACATTAAGGCTGTAGCATGTGAATGTTAGGAACACAAATATTCAGCCCATATCACATTCTTATCACACTTGACAAAATAAACTTATTCTCTAAAGCATCAGAAACCTAGTTGGCTTTAACACCCTGCCTTATTTTTAGTGCTCTAAGGTAAGCTCAGGGCCTGGTACATTTTAAGAAGGTACTCTACCAATGAGCCATACCCCTCATTTCTCCAGTTTCTTAAAACATGTCTACACTTGATCCATTTTAATAAAGATCTAAGTAAGATTCTCCAGTTTCTTCATTTTATTTTTAAATACCTCAATTGCATATATTAATTATATATAATGATAGGTTTCATGGTGTTTTTGTACATGTACTTGTATTTATCCCCCATTCCTTCTACTAATCTGCTATTTCATGCCCCCCACCCACCCTTTGTAACCCAATTAGGAGCACATGGTTTATGTGTGTGTGTGTGTTTGTGTGTGTATGTGTGTGTGCATGCTCATATGTGTGCATATGCATGTGTGTGCAAATAATTGTAAAGGCAAGAAGTCAGCCTCAGGTGCCCTTCACCCTGTTTTTTTTTTTAATGGGTAATTTTTCAGTGACAGTAAGATTAAATAAAATGTCTCCAATAACCATTAACTGTGTATGAATTCTCAGGGAAGAGTGGGGCCCTATGAGATTCTCCCCATTACATGGCAGGATGTTTACTGACTTAATCTTGGAAGATCTTATACAGAAATCATACTTTAATTTTGTTTTTAAGATAGAGTCTCTAACACAAGCTGGTTTTGAACTATTAGTAGCTGAGGATGACCTTGAATTTCTGTTCCTCCTGCCTCCACTTCCCAAAGTTGTGGGAGTACAGGCAGGCAACATTACCCAGTTTATGAGGTACATGGGATTGAGCCTAGGACCTTGTGCATACTAGACAAATATCCCCAGCCTTGATTTTAAAAGTATGAATTAAATTAATTTTTTGATTGTTTGAGATGGGCTCTCACCTTGTAACAGCCCTGACTGTGCTGGAACTCGCTTTGTAGACCATGCTGGTTAAGTAATAAGGGCGGCGGGGCTGCGTCCCCAGCACCCCGGCTGCCTGCTCGGCTAGCTTATGCCCCGAAATAATTACACGGACACTGTATTCCTCCAAACACTGCCTGGCCCATTCTCTTCTAGGCTAATTCTCACATATTAATTTAGCCCACCTCTAATCATCTGTATGTAGCACCCCAAGGTGCGCTTACCGGGGAGATTCCAGCCTAGTCCATCCTGGGTTGGAGCTTCATCCTGGGAGCGGGGCATGGCGTCTCTCTCTGAGGCGTCTGCTCCCGAGAGAGCTGTGGAGTCTCTGAGCTCACTTCCTCTTCCTCCCAGCATTTTGTTCTGTTTACTCCTCCCACCTATCCTCTAACCAATAAAATGGGCCAGGGTAGTGTCATTATTAGCCAATGACCTTCCTCCATCATTTCCCCTTTTTCGGTTTAAACAAAAAAAAAAGGCTTTAACATAGCAAAATTACATATAACAAAACAGTTATCAAGTAAAAGTTACAATAATCTTTATCATAACTAAGGAAAACTATAACTATAACTAACTATTCTTAACTCCATCAAAGACTCCAGAAAGATATATTACCTAAGTAAACAAGAACTAAGAAACTTCAAACTCTAGAAATGACAAAGACATCTCGCTGCCTGGACAGTCACCCAAAGTTCTTTTGTACTGTTGGGGCATCCATCTTCAGCCTTCAGGCCCATGGTATCCAGCAGACATTTCCATAAAGCAGGAAAATTCAAAGTCAGTTCAGTCACTATCTGTTGTGTCCTGCAGAATGTCTCCCAGACTCTTTCAAAATGAATCAGGAACCCCAAAAGATCATCTCACCTTAGGCAAGTTCAGTAGTCCTCTCTCTGCGGGTTCTCTGTGTCCAGTTTATGCAATAGTCCAGGCAAGAGCAGTTTCTTGCCCAAATGGCTATCAGACTCCATAAGGTGCCTCTTCGATGCCCATCTTCCTCTTGAAGTACATTGGTGCTGCCAGGAGCAGAGTGTCTCATTGTCATGAAAAGTCCTCAGTTATTAAAACATTAAATGTCCTATTCTGTAATCTTTGAAAGACATGAAGAATGTCTATCTAAAATATATCTCTATATATCTAGAAAATCTAACTAACATGACTACAAGCTTTACTATTATCGATGATTATCCATTAACAATCTATATTTCTTAATTATACAGTACATATTTAAATGAACTACACAATCACAATACCTTAATCAAAATCAGAAACACTTATACATATAACAAAATTGACCTTAAATCTCTATCAATAAAGCAAAATCTATACTAATGCAAATTATTCATATCTATATCATATCCCCCTTTAAATGTAAAAGAACATTTATAAACATTTTTTGGGAATTTGGGCGCAGTTATTTCTCTCCAAACTGCTTCCTGCTGAATGGGGGCGTCGTTAATTTGGTCTTTCATGGTATAACCTGTGTGCTAGTTTCATCTCAGTTGGCAGTTCAGCGAAGCAATTTTTTGAAGGCGTTCACACCAACCCTTCAGGAGGGCGTGGTCCATCATACCAAATCGGAATAGAAGAAATGAACAGTGTCTCATTCTCTGTGAAAACAAAATAAGAAACTCCTTTCCAAAGTATCATATCCTTAGATCCAAATTCAAAATATCTATGTTGGATTAGTTCAGCAGCATTTATAAATAAATACCTTTTAGCAGCTGTTGTTCCTTCCTCAGCATTCAAACAATTCAAAGAGAGCATAATAGCATACAGTATCAAAATTCTCTGTCCATTTCCCATCTTTGTACAGCTTTGTTTTGACCTCTATTTCGTTTATTTTTACTTTTAACTCTTTGCTTTTTGAGACAGGTTCTCTGTATCTTTGACCTAAAGTAACTCTGTAGACCAGGCTGTCTTTGAACTCTCAGAGATCCGCCTGTCTCTGCCTCCCAGGCATTCGGGATTAAAGGTGTACACTGCTACACCTTGAACTCACAGAGATCCATTTGTCTCTGCCTTCTAGGCACTGGGATTAAAGGCGTGTGCTACCACACACAACAACTCTCTTCCTTTTTTTGTTTTTTACTTTAAGAACTTCAACTTTTAGTCTGTATATATTTTTAACACACTTTAAACCATTCAGAAATTTTCTCTGTCTTTGAATCTCTCTTTACTGTTTATCTCTCTTTTTCTGACCACATGAATCTTTAATTTACCAAGCAATCTCAGTAGGACTAAAGGCG